TGTAATGCAGTCCGTCGACGAATACGGGTTACGCAATACAACAACGACTATTCCGTGTTTTTATGCGTTTGAATTGGGTTTAATGGGACGTGTACATTACACATTGTGATGGGGTTGGGCAGGGAGAGGCAAGGGGACTATTTTGCCTCAGGTCTAAGTTTAAGAAAATGTAAAGGGTTAAAATTTAAATGCTCCCTTAAAGTCCAGTTTGATTAGAGATTCTCTGCGTTTTCTATTAGAGATTATTGATAATAACATATTATTTCTAAATTATTTTTATTTATAAAAATGTCTATATTATTATATGTTTATGTCTACATTAAACAGAGAAAGAAATATTTATAGTATCTACTATGTATATCAAATAATGTAAAGCAATTGTATACCCACCCATAGTTTATTTAATGTTAAGACTTAAACAGTAAAATTAGACCTTACGGAATTCTAAAATATGAATTCGGAGTGATTTAGTATATAAGAAGGGTTACCTTTTTTTCGCGTTTTGGTTGACTTCTAGTTTGGGTGTTTAACTAATAATTGATTTACGGCCATAACAATTTCAGCCATGATATTATAATAAACAATTCAAATGCTAATGTTATAGATATTGAAAGATATATAATATTAGGATTTTTGCATATATAATTTGTACATAATTTTTTTAATTTGTATCTAATGTTGTTTCTTTCATATAATGTGTTAAAAACTATGAAAATATATGTGAACCACAGTGTATATGTATTTATAGGCATTAATTGAAAATAAAGTCCAATAAAAGTTGTCCAGTCGATAAAAGGGGACAAAGATAATTGAAAAGCGGTCGAGTACCAACCACAATAATAAATTTAAATATACGTGTGAGATTTGAATTAAAAGTAGAATAATCAATAGGCTATAATATGGAGGAAGCGTATATTATGTGAAATCAAAACAATACTATAAACACGATTGATGCGAAAAATGTATTGTGTCGGCGATACAAATACACCAAATTATACATATGCGGGTACCTCTATGAATTGAAGTACAATGTACCATATGGACGTTTGGTACAATTTTTATATGTCGTTATATGTGTACACAGAGTGATCAATTTAACAGAAGTCGGTGTAGTATAAAATGTATAAGTATCATCGTAATGAATATCTAATCGATTAAAAAATCGATGTCACTGAATTATGAACCTTATTAAAACATAGTTTATAAAAAAAAAAATGTTAAGTTGAATCTTCTAAATGTTTACCATCTACAGTGAAATGGCCTTGTATTAAAGTTTCAAGTTTCAAATTAAAAACCACAAGATTACTTATTTAATTGAAAAAAATAAATACTATAAACACTAAGATTAAAACATTATTTCCAAGTTTTTCTTTTATACAGGGAAAACTTGAGAAAATAGAAAAATAACCAATTAAAGTGTGCCTTCTATGTTAAATTTTTATCTAAAAAGTGTATAACTTTTGGTGACGATTAACTAACAAAAAAAAAAAAAATAAAATAAGGTAAATTTATCAGTGTAAAATGTATAAATTTCTTACTTTGTACAAAATCAATTGTTCATAGTCATCATTTAATATTGGAAATTTGATGGATACATTTACTATAGTATTTAATAATAGAGCATCGAAAAAAATATAACTTGCGAAAGCACTCGGACTAATCTTAAACAATACTTATTAGTAGTGTTCAACCATTTAAAAAAACTATTTTACACAAAACAAAAGCATGCATAATAAGAAATAATGATTGATTGATGGATCAGACTGTACAGTACAGTACAGTGATGTTATTTAAAATTTTAAAAACAAGTACGTGATCGTACGTGTTAAAACATAATATATAAGTTCGGATGGTTGGAATTCATCATGTGCCGGGAATAAATTTAGAATTCGTCGTCTTCAGATTTCAATTAAAAATAGGGAGATATGGAGTCTTATGGTATTGAACACTTGTCTCGCATCATTCACCTTGACCAAGGATGTTGGTGATGCTATTACTTTCTCGAATTCGAAAACAAAGGGAATTCAATAAGAAAATTAACAGTAACTAATCGTTATTTTTGTTTATTTTAACTATAAAAATAGTGCATTTTGAAAATATTTAAACGTGGCTTCGGAAATAAGAGTTAACATTTTAATTTTCATCGGATATTTAATCTTTATTTTTTTTTAATATTATTAAAATATTAGAGCGTTTAATACTAATAACACAGTAATAGTTTATTAATTTTGATAGCATTTAATAAAATGTTACCGATTTTGACGAAAAAACAATAACTTCAGTTTTGCTGTGATTTGTAGAAATAGATTATATTATTATGATAGTATAAATGTATTATGGTAGTTAAATGGTTATTTTTTGTAAAATTAAATGTAATTGAATGTTAAATAATTTACAGCTAACTTTTTCTCTTTTTAATTTATACAATTTACATTTTTTTTTTTATAATTTGTTACTTTTATAAAACAGTAGGTATGTAGTAAATTCAATTAATATATCGCGACCTATTAAGTTAATTTACTACGATTTAATACATGTTGTATACATTTTTTTTTTACTCACCGATGATATCAACTTTCAAATTCTTAGACAACAATTCCAGTGGCTCTCCCAACTTCTATTTTCAGTTATCAACTATAACTATTGTTATGTGAAAACAAATTAACTCTTATAAATGTTGTGTCAAATTGTAAATTGATAAATAGAGATAATATTGTTCAATATCTACCTTCAAAATTATTTGAATGAGCCGCCGCGAGTAGCGTGTATAGCACGTACTACGTTGTACATATTTTACCTAACACTAATATAAACTCAACTGTTATTTCATAAAATATTAACAGATTCCTAGAATTGCTCCACGGTCAAATATAATTAAATTTCTTCCAGAAAAATATTTTTATTATAAATAAAAAATTCGATTCCTAGCCTAACGCAGAGTGTAATTTCAATAAGATACCATGGCTGCATGACCAAAGAAATGTAACGTCATTCTTAAAATATTTCTATGTAACACGGAATGTATTTATTAACAGCACTATATTCATATGAACTGTATCGGTTCAAGATGTTATATTGTATTGTCACCGAGGTCGTTGATACATTTTTATACACGCCACGATTACAAAAAATAATAATTTCTCGAAGTAAAATTTAAACAGCTCGAAAACCAATCAGTTTAACGTGTTTTGTTCGAAAAATGTTTCATTTTGTTGAAGGATATAATGAAAATAAAATATTGTTTCAAATTAATTTTATATTAATAAATATTTAATATAAATAATATTTATTTATTTTAATATATATAGTATAAATATTTAATTAATATATTAACATTAATATTAAAGTTAATAAACTTAGGAAATTCTAAATCCATATAAACCCATTCGATTGTGTGAACAGCTACGGCTTAGATAAAATGTATTATATTTTTGTTTCATAAATAACTGAATAACAATCGAGGGACATATTTTTCAGATCTTATAATAATAGAACATGACAAAATAAATCTAACAGCACTAAGTTCTTTTACCCAAGAATTTCCCCATTTTGTTCTAGAAATATCCTCTAGTTTTCTGACATTTCCTAAATTAAATCTGTTGTTCAGTTTTTCTTTTCAAAGAGCTGCGATGTATTTCCACTTAATCGGCTGTTAACAGATTTCCACTTTAATTTTCTTCAATTTCTATTTAGATAAAAAAAAAAAAATAATAATAATAATAATAAAAGGTGTTACGAGTGTAGGCGTGGGAAATTTTATATATCACATTGAGATTGGAAATAAGACGAAAATCATAAAACCATCGGTATTAAGAGAACTATCATTTTTATTTAATTCAGTAAAAACGAGTTAATATACTCGTATGTAATAAAATCTTTATTGCAAAAATCATATTTCTTGAATTCCCATAGATTGATTTTCAGTTAGCTCAACGGATATTACAGTTATTTATTACTGGTCCATGGCAACTAAAATAAAATATGTAGTTACGCGTAAATTTAATATTAATGTTTATGGGTAATTAATATTTTATGTAATATTGTTATTATTTGCAAAAAAAAGATGCGAACAGACATTTTGATTTTTCTATTCGTAAAATATTAATAATACCAAGTACATTTCACGTAAATTTATATTTATTTTATTCATACTTACGGACAAAGCTGGTTCAAGGCATAGGCGAGCTAGACACCTGCATAAAGTAGCATTTTAGTAGGTGCGGCATTTTCAAAATTGGCTCGTACATTATTTTTAGTTCTGTCGACGTTTTATAAGAAAAATATCTAAATTAATTTATTCGTGAAAATCACTTAAATATACAATAATATAATATTGTATAAAGTTATTATATTACTTTATATTACGGCCTACCCAGGGAACTTTCAATTATTCCAAAAATATAAATACCCACACAATCACTTCTGCGATTTCCGACAGTCGTGATAGTGATGGGTTTTGAGTAATAATTATAGAAATCATTTTTAAGTCTTTTTAAATATAATTTTACATATAAAATTAAAAATCAAAATTTTTTTTATGTAGATATGTCACATAAAAAAAAGAGAGAGTTGCTAAGTTAAAATAAGAGCTCAATTTTTTATTTTTAGAGGCTGCAAAATTTGATTTTGCCAGTGCACTATTTTTGCTTGGACCATAATACATAATGCTAACGGCGGACGTGGTGGTACGGTCATGCCGAATTTATAGTGATGACCTCTCATGGTGAAATTGTAAATGTATTATTGTATACAATCATAACGATGTGATTTCGCGTCCGTCGTGTAGTCTAGTAACACGCGAATAGTTCACTTGCATTATTTGACTATGAGGCCATCTACTGAAATAGCATTAGGTCTAGTTTGTACTATCGGGCGCGTGTAGAAGAAAAATATTTCCGCGATGGTTTCTAAAGGGCCACGGTAGGTAACAAAAACAAGTAACGCGTAATACGAATAACGATGGAAAATTTTATTTAGTTATCTTTTACATGGAAAAAAGTCTACTGATTAGTGATAAGAGTGGGCATAAAATTAACAAACGTTTTCTTACGATTTCTAGGATAGAGGGGGGGATCATTTATAACGTTTTTTTTGTTGCATGTATTTGGATGGAGTGAAGTACAGTTCTGACCGTTCTCGGCGACGGACGATGTGAGAATAACGCGTCCATTGATAAGTATACCCCCCGTCTGCTTGTATTGCCGTACGCATGTGAACAGTGCGTAACCAAAATCGAGTGGGGCACCAATCAGCAGGACAAAATCAGACGACATATGCCGACGTGTGCCGATTGCCGAGTAGATAACAGCCAAACGTCTCATCACATGATTAACCATTTTTTTTTCTTTTGATAAAAATCGGCTTGAAAAGGTTCCACTGAAAAAAAGTAACCCAAGTTAGTATGTTAAGTATATCTTCTTAAGTTGCAATGATGATACATAAAATAAAAAATTCATTTTTAAAACTGCAGCAACATGTAGTCGAAATTCGATGGGTATCTGAAGTCCATGTATAAGCATGGAAGTAGATTTACCTATATTATTCGGACAAAAATATGTTACAAATTTATTATTATTTTTATAAATATAAATATTGGCCAGTAGTATTATATTATGTTTTTCAGGAAAAAATTTTCAACTTTTTCACTAGTTATTTTGATTTTGACAGAAATTTTTTGTACAGCGAAATAAATAAAAGATAAGTTATCTTAGATAACCTTTAATCTCTACTACTATATGAAATTGTAAGGGGTTTTCTACGACCACGCTTACCGAGATAACTGCTGAACCGAAAAAAAAGAAAAACTAACCGATTTGGCTGAAATTTTTTACTGTTATACCTGACAGTCTGCTGAAGGTTTTAGTACCTTTTTTTTTTTTTTAAGAATAACAGGTTTATTTGATGTTCCAATGTTGTGACAACACTATTCATCTTATTTACAATTTTACCGTCGTCAAGGTTACAAACATATTTATTTTTTTTAGTTTGATAAAAGATATTTTTGATACTACTTTTGAAGGTTTATTGGGCATGCTAACGGAGTTAAATTTTGGGAAAGTTGCCAATTCATTATTATGCCAAAAGCGTTAAGAGCACGTAAATGTATAATAGAACACAACAGAAGAACACACCAGCAGTAACGTTAAGCTTTAAGTCTGAAATAAATGTTTAATTATCGATCAGAGATTGATTATTTAAATATTTCAGCGCTTCAAATAGGACAAATAACTACATTATGCTCAAAGTTTTATGCAAAAAAATTGAAAAATGAAACCAAGGTTCTTTGATGAGTTGCAAAACTTTAAGTTAATATATTCACGCTGAACGAGTTCCTCAAGGAGAACACAGAGGTCAGTATAATGCACCTACAACCGATGAAGTAGCTGTATTATTAGTTTATGAAGATAAAGGTCCCAGGGATACAGTCCTGCACAATTAGATCTTATGATGCACTGCAATATCCGTTGATGTATAATAGAGATGAAGACAGATAACTAACGGATATAACATTAATATTTTAAAGCAAATTAACCAAAATCGATCAAAAACTGTCTCCTGCATGCAATTTTACTTTTACATATTTATGGTTAGAGAAATAAGTCTAAATCATTTACATTATTACAAAACCTTATACTTGCCGTAAATGAATGGCTTCAATTCCCTGTTAATTTTTTTTTTTGCAATTAAGATTAATAAAGCTTAAAGTCAAACACAGTTAGCGTAGATCTTCATACGTGGGATTTTCTCGAACTGGGGATCCGAATCAATTATTGATTTTGATTTCAACAGAAGATAGAAAAAAAAACGTTGTATACTCAAAAGTCTTATAAAATTCTTACTATTTAATTTTTTATCAACATTTTTTCATTATCAACAATATATTAATTAGCATTTCTTTTGTATCTGTATCAATTTTTAATAAAAATATATTTATCATTAATACCACTAGAACATTTCAATACGTTTTCATTAACTGTTTTTTAAATTTAATATTCGATCACAGTAAAAGATAAAATTTGAATAAAAAGTTTTATATATCATCGTCAGAAGGCAAAATAAATAATCAATCACGAGCGAAGCCATGACGGATCAGCTAGCAGTGTATATTTCGATCGTAATAAAATTCTATATCCAAAATGTGAACGGTAATCGTTCATGTAATCTCGAACATACTTTACCCATATGGTTGTATGACGTGCTCCGAGTATTCTAAAGAATGTTCTCTTGAGATACGCATCATTACAAAATCAATAATCTCCTCGCTGCGTTCAGAACTCGAATAGCACTTAGTTTTCGGTTATATTATATCAATGGTTTTCCAATGGAGCATTCTCTAGATGTGATGCGACCTTTTAAAATCGATTGAATAATGACCTGCTAAATAAAAGGCTATTAAACGTTGTTCGTGGCTGAGGCATGTGCTGTGAGCATTTCGTTGACAAAACAGCATACTACATTTGAAAATAATTTTGAAAACCAACGTTATAATCTAACGATGTCATAGTGCACATGTGCGCTAGAAGTGACGAATTTCGATAAAATGAATTATACATACATTATATATATTATACATACATAATTTTATTTTTGACGTTAACACTGTGCTTATATTGTATAAAAATATTGTATATGTCATATATATTGTTAATATATTATTTTTGTGATGTATAATGAATTATCTATGACCAGTTTATCACTTTTTTCAACTTTTATGTATAATATTAAAATAATGCATGTATAATAATTAAAACATTTTAAATGTGTCCACTTACTGTGTGATGCTATATTTGATTAGATTGTTGAGAGTTTTACAATAAATTATCGTGGATATTGCATTTACAAAGGGCGTCTATTTAAGGTCGGGGCACTTTATGGAAGAAATTGTATAATATAGCTGATCAAAGGAATATATAGAGATGTATTGGAAAGGGGTTTAGATCCCCTCAAAAATAATGTAACAATGTTGTAATAAAACAGTCAACATTAACTTCTCTTGCCTATTATATAGTTCTTCTAAATATACTATATTTTTAATATTATTTTTTCTAACGGGGATGGCACTTACCACCAGTGCCCCCTCCTGGATCCGCCCATACATATAAAAGTAGCTTTACTCCACACAAATATCTATAATATAAAAAGTAAAAATATTTATTAGTTTTGATTTATTTTCAACAGTATATTTTTTATAATTCAATTCGTCCAAACGCAGTTTTGAATTTATGACTCAATTAACATTTTATACATTTTATATTATCTAATTAATGAGAAACACTTAAAATGAGATCTTATTATAATATTCGAAGATTTTAAATAGCGTTTAAATGTTTTAAATGTTTATTTTATTAAAATATACGCAAATGTTTAGAGCTCTCTCTTTATAATAATAACATTTATTTATTTAAAACAAACAGCATTATAAAAAGATTATGATATTATTGAACAGGGTTCGTCACTTCCAAGCCATTGGCTCTGTGTAAGTGAGAGTTCTAAATTACTATATTAAGATGATAAATTATATACCAATTAAAAACCCATTACTTTACCAATAAAAATCTACGAATTCATCTTTTGGAGAGTAGTGAAATTTTGTTTCGGGTGGGTGGTGTAAAAATATTAAATGTGAGTCAAGAAAAAAAAGTTCAAGACGCCACTGGCTGTATTTTGTGTAGTTTCACAAATTTTACTCAATGGTTCACAGTTATATGCAGTTATAAGCATTTTTATATAATATAAATATATATATTTTAAGGTATACTCGTGATAAATATTGCTAAAATGAGTTTTTACTCGACAGTGTTTGAATCTTAATTGATTAATTGCGATTAAGCGAAAGATGATATTTTCATTATTGTTTAGTAGTGTATTTACGGGGGGTGTTTTGGGGATTAAACAATCCAAATTATTTTTTTTTTTTTAGAGCACTTTCCTTTATTGAAGTTATATGATATAATGTTGACAAAATAATAAAATATTGTATTACTACTTTAAAAATGTATTAATTTATATCTATAATTCTCTAATCTGATTCTGCATCAACTACTGGAAACGAAAGATAATTTTCATCATTAAAAAGGATAAAGACTTATCTACGTAATACTATGTGCCAAGTAGGTCTCTTTTTTTAATTTATTAAATCTAGATAATAATTATAAAATGTAATTAATTTATAGTTTTTCTTTAGAAAATACTTAATGGGTTATCAATAAATTAGAAGGATTGTATTAAAAGTAATCAAGTATTGGAGGAATTTGCATTAAAAAAAAAATATGTTTTTTTAACACTATAAATAATGAAATACATTTATGCAAATTTGAATAAACTGTTTTGTGAAACTACCCCCTGATCTGAAATTAATTTATATTTTATTCGGTCAAACTTTTCATATTTTATTCCAATAATAATTATAGTCAAAAATTGAAATAGTAATCCTAAGTTTTTTCTTTCATGATAATTACCACTTATAAGGTGTTTTCATACTATTAAATTATTAAAATAAGTCCATTTAATACTATAGAAGAATAACTGTTACCACTCACTTAAGAAACATGAGTTTGATATTTTCACTGATCTAATATAATAGGTAGTTGATCATAAATTAAAACAATTTTCAACAAATGTTATTAAACAATATTTTGAGCATTTATTTTGGAGGAGTGAAGCTTACTATATGACTTAATGATAATATTTTGGGAGAAAAAATAATCGTCAGAACAGCCCCAAAATACGTGACTGTATAGGTCGATAAACAAGAGTTAAAGATTTAAAACCTGTCGTATAAAAAATGATTAGTGAATCGTATAAAGTTCGTAACGAGTCGGCCGGAGTTGTTTGAACGATATTGAACGATATCATCTAAATCTAAATCGGTTCGTTCAATGAAATAAATCGTTCATGAACTACTTATTCCTACCAGTTATAACTGTTTATAACCAACGGTTTAAAGAACTGGATGTTAGTAGTAAAAACTAATATATCTTTAAAACTTTAATACCACAAAATCACCACTTACAACGTTTACGCGTTATACCAATGGTAGATGCACGGCGGCGGCGGCAGTTCGATATGTCTGGTTGCTGTTCATATGGCGTTTTTACACTGTCGATGAACAATTTTCGTTACGATCGCCGTGTCCATTAATCGTGATCGTGCTATCTGATCCGCGTACAATTATCTCCGAGACCACAACCGTTGCATGTACGTTCATTGTTCTGCTGTTCATAGCTGTGCTAGCGCAAAAAACACATTATCTCAGCCGTAATAGTATTCGCACGAAAATCAGTGGCGGACCGGTCGTGCTGTGGATTCCCGAACACAACGTCGAACGGTAATGATGATATTATCTGTTCATTATCCGATAGCTGCGCAGAGATATATACGGACCTGTCGCCCGATATGATCTTGAAAATCCATCACAGATGACCTAGGCCCGGATCTCAATCCGGCTATATTTGAAGGGTGGCATGGTTCGTGCTGAACCAAAAAATTTGTGGTTTTTTTTCGATTACAGGGATTGGTCTTCTTTTACGGCGACGTTCATACCAAATTCGATTCTGGGTGTGACCATTTGCGTAGGGATATTTTTACGTTTCGATTGGAACTCGATAGGTATCCGGGTATTGTATTTTCTACATTACCGTCTACATTGGTCAAACTGCCGACTGTTAAGCGAATTTCACCGAGAGGTGCACAGCAGGTATAGATAAAGTTTCAATTCGTAGCGCCGATATCTTAAAACTGTGATTGGAAAATTCCAAAACTTAATGGCCCCAGTCTAAACTTTTATAGACATATGTATAGGCTACCGAGCCAATGCATCGTTATGGACTCCAGTACCATTTGTTTGAATCAAACGTAGTGGTGTAACTGCAGTGTTGTCCGTCTAGATGGAATGATGTTCGCGATGGTATTCTCCCCTCGTCCGCGATAACTGTCGAACAAATCTCGTCCTTACGCTCGAAGCGCAGACACAGGTACGACTATTATCGCGGATTGTTTAAAAACGCGGCCTCATCTGCTTCGGGAATTCCACCAAAACGCAACGGAATCGAATAGATCAAAAGCGAAATATATATATATATATATTTTTTTTTTTTAAAGCTCATTCAACTCAGGTCAACTCATTGTATTTCGGATTCCCATCCGACGTAATGATATAAAATATTTTATGTTATACAATCATTGTGTCCGTCCGTTGTCGTGACTTTCGTCGTCGTGTTCACCCACCCATGCCACCGTTGTTTTCGTATTACGGTCTGATATCATTATTCGACGGAACTGACATTATCAGCCGTAACCGTATAGTGCGGATCGTCTCTGGTTCATACGGTGACATGTACTAAATATTCTGTCGTTAAACGTTCGACACTGTATACGTTTATTCCGTGCGAAAAACGCAAGGCTGGGATTTTAATGCAAATGCATTTTCTTCTTCTGATGAAACCAACAAATAGATCCGTAAGCGAAAATTTGTTTCAAGTGATACTGTTTAATTTAATGTAAATTTTATTTTGCGTTTTATTGCTTTTTCTACAAATTTAACTTAAAATTCATTTTTAAGGCATGTTTTGGTGTTTTTCAAGTTTTTAGAGCATTTTATCTATAAATTAGAATATTTGATCACGCGTTTTGGCGTCTGTTCGCTCAAAACTTGCACGTTAAGTATGAAATCTACTAAATTGGTAAACTAACAAATACGAGCATGTATACCTTACGTACCTATTTTATCAAATGTTTAACAAAATAAAAATAGTTGAAAGAAATTTTTCTAATTACAAGAGTTCAACGACGATCATAACAGCAAGTTATGAAATAAATTAAAACCTATTTATTATTATTATGTTAAATAAATACAATTGAATATGTTTGGTAACATGATTTTTACAATATTGTTTTTAAACTATAATAAATACATTTTTTAACATATTTTTTACGACTTTTAAAGCACTTTTGCAATTTTTTAGAGCATTTTTTGCTACATTTTAGAGTATTTAAATCCCAGCCCTAATTGTATGCATCTAATATTCATCACGTGTTAACTGTTCTGATAACAAAAGTTAATTGTGACGTTGAACATTATTTGATAATAGCATCGGATTCAATCCACGAATAATTCTAATCACTGTATTTTTTACATTATCTTTTAATTTTTTTTTTTTTTTTTTAGAACGTTCGTTGATGTTATACTGTAAGTAATTTTTTTGTTCGATATTGTTCAACTTGAAAAAATAGCAGAACTCGTTTG